CACCCTATAGTCTGGGCATTGAAGTACGGTATATAAACATACCATAGCATACCATATCATAACATACCGTTCCCAAATTAACATTATCATAATTTTTTTTTAGATACACACTAAAAAAATAAACTTAAATTACTAAAAAAAATTTAACTATTATTTTTAGTTGTTTTTTTGGTGTCAATGATTATTATACAGTATATACCGTATATATATATATATTTTTTTTTTAATAATTATTGATAAGGCATTGGGACAGGTAGTCAAAGTGGGCAATGATGTCAGTGATTCATACAATGTCGGCCAATATCTGGTCGTCAAATGCAGTAAAATGCGGGCCTATTCTGAATATTTGGTATTAATTATTATTATTAGTTTTATTTACATAAAAAAATATAAATTAATTAATTTTCTGGTCAAACAACAGTATGTAACTAAAAATGATGGCCTATCGGTAGTACCGGAGCCGAAACCCGAGTACGTGGCACTGTTAGGTACCAGTGGACTGACCGCTGCCATTGGTCTAATGGAATCGGCTCGCCTACAGCCGGGTGAAACAGTTTTGGTGACGGCCGCAGCCGGCGGTGTCGGCCATATAGTCGTTCAGTGGGCACTACTCAACCGGTGTCGGGTTGTGGGTCTGACGTCGACACCGGAGAAACAGGAGTTTCTCAATCGGTTAGGTTGTCATCGGGTTATAAACTATAAGTTAGAAAACTTGGATCAAGTATTGAAAAAGGAATATCCAGTAAATTATTATTTTTATTTTAATTTATTTTTGTTGATAAAAATATTTATATATTAATTAATTAATTTGTTTTTTTTTGTTGATTTGTTTCGTCCAAATAGACTGGTATTGACGTGATTTGGGAGACCATCGGTAGTCCCGTATTCGAGCAACTATTTGAACACTTGGCCCGTAAGGGCCGACTAATCAATGTGGGCGCCACTGCCGGCTACAAGACAGTGGGCTACGCCCCTATCAATATCGACGACTTTATTGTTAAGGTATAGATAGTAAGAAAAAAAGTTTTTATATATATGTTTTTGTATATATCATATACTAACCTAACCGTCCAAAACAAACCGTTAGCTTCATTACGGGGCCCGAACTGTTGTCGGCTTTCTGGTCATGGATTACAAAGACAAGTATCCCATATATAGCAAACAATTGTCCGATTATTATCGGGACAATCGTTTGACAATCAAAGTAGACTTTGGTGTCGGCAGTGTTGTTGGCCATGGATTGGAGGCCATCGCTGATGGTATTCAGGTATTTAAGATTTAATTCATTATTTATTTTTTCTATATAAACAATATTATCATTAATTATCTATTAATTATTGTTTTTTTTTGTTGTAACCAATTGATGATTTCAATAATCAACTATCAAAAAAAAAATCATTAGTATCTTCATAGTGGCGCTAATTTGGGAAAAGTTATTGTAAAACTTTAATTATTATTATTATTATTATTATTATTAAAGATTATTATTTTACTTTAAAAAATTAACTAATACAAAATGTAAATTGAATAATGATAATTTTAAAAAAAAATAAATAAATATAAAAAACATATAATTACGGTAATTGTATAACATTAATTTTTAATAAATAATTTTTATTAAACTAAATTTTAAATATAATTATTATTATTATTATTATTATTATTAAATTCTAATAATTATATTAAATATATAAAAACACAAATATGATAAAAAAAAATTTAGCGTAAAATTATTTTAATAGATTTAATTTACATTTTATGAAATTATGATTTATTAATAATTTTATTATTTTATTATTTTCCAAATAACAATTAATACTTTTTTTTATCTACAATGTATATAATATTTTTGTACAATATTTTATTTCATATAATTTATATTATCTAATTTTATCTAAATTATTAATAAAAAAAACAATTTTAAATCAGTTGAGAATGCTAGAAAGCATTTCCATACAAACTTATTATCAAAAAGTAAATATAAAATTAAATTCATATTTCAAAAATAAATTCAACTTTAGTCATATGAAGTATGTATCTAAATGTAATATCTAAACCCAAAAAATAATTTGGACGTCATTTTTCTATGTTACTATAGATATAAAAAAAATTAGACAGACAGACAGACAGACAGACAGACAGACAGACAGACAGACAGACAGACAGACAGACATATAGAATTCAGAAACTCTTTGCATTAGTTGGTGAAAATATGATATTTTTGATGCTTTTACACAAAATATGATATAATTTAATAATTTAAGTTAAAAAATACATTTATTTTATTTATAATATTTTTTTTAATTGTAATTTAAAACTTAATTGTTTTAATAGAAAATTTAAGTTTTAGTAATGATTTTAGTTTACTATTATTATTAACATTTTATGCAATGAATAGTTATAAATAGAAAATTAAATTTTTAAATAAAAATGTTTATTAGTTATAATAATTATAATTATTTGGTTTCATTAGCTTTTATATTGACTACCGATGTTGTCGTTGTTGGCCTAGAAATCGGTGATTACCCGAACATAACGAACACCAATGAGTGCGGTATCGGTCGTCAGTCTTATCTGATGAACGATCGGTGCTTTAGATTTCATACGATTAGCGATTTGATGTCCAAAGCTGTTGTCAACGGCAGGGATGTACAGCCGGGAGAGTATCCATATGTTGTCTAAATTGAGATTTGGATCAATTGGAGCGGAATTCATAGGCAAACGTAAATAGTTTTTTTTGTGTTTATATAAAAAATTAAATCATAATTTATATATATATATATATATAAATATATGTCTATCTATTTAATAAAGGAGTGCGTGTACGGGATCTATACTCAACCAGCAATGGATACTATCGGCGGCCCATTGTTACAGTAATCTCGCGGGTATTGACTACTATAAGATATTCGCGGGAACTATAGATAAGTCAAAACTGGGAAACAGATTATGGAGTCGAAGAAGTCATTCTACACCCGAAGTTCGAGAGAACTCCTCGTAATCCCTATGATGTGGCGCTCATACGTGTGAAGACACCAATGGTTTTCAATGGTGGAGATAATGGTTACGCCTATCGACAGTTAAACAGTATTTGTTTGCCGCCTATCGATCATATGGTCACTGAATATGAGTTGGCATTAATTGTGGGTTTCGGTCGTATCCATGATATGTATTGGACTACAGATAGGCTTCAAACTGGTTTGGTTAGGATATCAGCTCAAAACCTAACCGATCCAAACATTATTAATGCCTATCAATATCCATATCCCGGTGGAGCCCATACTTGTTATGTAATAAATATATAATTCAAAAATAATAACAATATTAATAGATTACAAAATATGTAATTTTTTTCAAACAATAGGGCGATTCCGGTGGTCCACTACTACAGTATGTCAACGATAGGGCTGTCATAATAGGTGTCAGTATTTGGGCAAACACTGGCAAAAACATTTGTAGTCCCAAACATAGGGTTTGGACAGCATTTGTCAAAGTATCGGCAGTTTTGGATTGGATTATTGAAAAAATATCAAAAAAAATAAAATTTATTATATTTTTAGTTTTCGTTTATTTTATGTTAATAAATCAAAATATTCAAATTATATATCTAGTTAAAAAATATTCAAAAGTATTCAAATAGTAATAAAAAAATTATTTTAGTTATATTAGTAAATTGAATAGAAAAAATAATTAATTTACTAAGATATATATATATATATATATATATATATATATATATATATATATATATATATATATATATATATATATTGTATTTATTTATATATTATTTTTTCAAATTTGAGATAATGAAGAAAAAAAATTATATTAATTGTGTTTATAATATTATATCTTTTTTTTTTGAAAATCATATTTAAAAATTATTCTTTTAAAACAATTTTAAAATAAAATTAGATCATATAAATTATATGAAATAAAATATACGAAAATCTTAGTGAAATATTATATTCATTATAGAAAATAATATATTATTTAATAGAAAATAATAAAATCATAGCCAAAATTTTTATCATATTTAATATTTTGCAATTAAATACGTTTTTAAAAAAAAAATTATTACATTTAATTAATAGATGTTAATGTTTTTTTAAAAATATATTTTACTCAAGTTTTTAAGCAATTATCAATGCAATTATTGTTAAAATTATAAAAATGTTTTGTTTGATAGCGTTGTGTAAGTAAAACTCTTTTTAAAAAATCAATTAATCATAAAATTACAAAACAAACAAATAATTATTTTTTAAAACTTTAAACTCTTTGAAAGTCATGATCGGTGTTTGCAATGTTGTTGTGTTTGGCCTACAAATCGGTGATTATCCGGACATTACTAATACTACTGACTGTGGTATCGGTCGTGAGTCGCATCTGATGGACGACCGGTGCTTTAAATTTCATTCAAGTCGTGATTTTATGACCTCTTCGTCTTCCTCCTCCTCCTCCTTGTCCTCTATAGTGTACGGAAGGGAAGCAAAGAGGGATGAATTGCCATATATTGTATACATCGAGAAATGGAAAGACAACAAACAGAGGTATTTTGACTTTTTTTATATATCTTAATATATACAGTGTTACAAACATAGGGGTTGCTAAAGCGGTGGTAGGGTAAGACCCCTTAACCCCCAAATACCCCCTGAATAACAACTTTATACATTTAATTTAAAAAATCTATCCTACCTGTATGTCTGCAAATAAATAAATATATTAATAATAAATACATTATATATCTATTTTTATATAAATCCAGTGCTCTATATACGGGAACTGTACTCAACCAGCGCTGGATACTGACTGCTGCCCAATGTATTCATGTCTGTAACAACTGTTCATATAAAATATATGCGGGACTTATAGATATTAGATATCCGGGCATTGATTATGGTATTAATAAAGTCATTGTTCACGAAAACAATTCAGCTGTCAATGACTTAGCACTGATTAATGTGAAAATACCGATGAATTTCAGTGCAAACAATGGTTACTATTATCGGCAGATAAACGGTATTTGTTTGCCGACTATCGATCACAACAACACTGACTACGAGTACGCCGTAATCGCCGGTTTTGGTCGGACTGAAGGAAATGGTTTGAAATCTGAGTTACAAATTGGTTGGCTTCGCATCAATCCTATGGACACCCAAAACAATGATCCAAACCTGATATATGCCGTCACATATCTGAAACAGTCTAACGGTTCCCTAATTTGTTATGTAATACTATTTAACTTTAAATAAAATATAAATACATGTATATATATATATATAATTTAATGTACTTATATATGTGTTTTTATATTTGTTAGGGTGATACCGGTGGTCCACTGATACAGTATGTTAGGGGTAGGGCTGTCCTCATAGGTGTTGCTGTTGATTGGTGGAGTCAATTGGGAATATTATGTGAAGATTACGAACCGATGCGCATGTATTTCATAAGAGTTGCCACAAAAATCAATTGGATTATCGATAAAATTAGAAAAAATACAATTTAAAAAATTAATTAAATAATTTCTAATTAAAAATAAGTTATCAAATATTACTAATTTAAAAGTCTTTCTTTGGGATACTAACTATCAATACTAATAGTTAATTAATAGTTTTAGATTTTATATATTAGATTATATTAGATTAGTTTACATATATATATATATATATATATATATATATATATATATATATATATACTGTACTATGGATTACTAATATTACTATTTAAATTAATAATTATTTTTTTTGTTTCTAATATTATTAAATAAAAAAAATTAACAACAACATCGGTAGTCAATTACAAAAGTTAATGAAATCAAATAATAATTACTAAAATTATTATTATTTATATAATTTTTTTCAATTAATTACAAAAAAATATAAATAAAATAAGAATATGTTTTTTAATAAATTAATATTTATCAATAAATCATATCGTTTATTTTTAAAAAAAAAAATCAAATATTAATATATTATAACAATAGTAATATCAAACAATATAATGCTAATTTTGATAAAAAAAATAGTAAACATTAATTTAAAATCAAATATATTTATTGTATAAACATTATTTTTTTAAAACAGATGATAGTAATTAAAAGATAAATTATCTATATTAAAAAAATCAAATATATAATTTGAATTTAATAAAAAATAAAATATTCCTTATGTTGACGTAAACGTAGTAACCTTCAATTAAAAAAATAAATAATTAAATAACTATCTTAAAAATTAAATATAATTACAGCATATTGTTGAAGCAAAGGTATTGCCGTTTCATTTATCCATTTATCAGATAAATGATCGTATATTTCAAATGTTAATTGATCTTTAAAATCAAAAATAAAAATAATTAAAGTTTATTATAATATAATTAAAGTAATTTTTAAAATTGTATTAAAAAAATTTAATTAAATAATAGATTACTTACCTTTTTCAGCAATTTTACTAAATATTAATAATTTACCATGATAGACTATCAAACTACAGTCAATTAGATTTTTATTTGTTTTGGCTAATTAATAAAATATTAAATATATAAATTTAATAAATAAAAATCTAATATATAAATGATATAATAAACTTAAATAAATAGTAATTGGTTTGATAATAGTTAGTAATAGTTAATTGTAATAATGATATTTTAATATAAACTAATTTTTAATACTTTTTTAATATATATATATATATATATATATATATAAATATAATTACCGATATTAATCCAGCTATTATTAGTTATATCATATTTCACACACTTGAAATTAAAACCATCACCGCAGAAATAAATAAAATTCATAAATGCAACAGCACATGATGGATCTCTATTAATGTTTTAACAAATTATATATATATATATTGATATATAAAAAAAATTAAATTAAACAAATAAATAAAAAAAATAAATACATATCAATAGTTATGTTGCCAATTACTGTCCACTGGTTTTTAATTAGATCATATCGTTCAATAATTTTTCTATTACCCAATGCATAAATATTATCGATTAGTGAAATCAAATTTATATTATCCTGATATGTAATCATTGATGCAATATATATCCATTCATTTTTATTGCTATCGTAAACTTCACAAGACTTATTATAAGAATTAATTATTTCAAGTGAAGAACCTCCGCATACATATAATTTATTTTTATGAACGATTGCAGATGACTTTCTAAATATTTAAAAAATAATACAAATATAATATTTTTGTAAAAAAGTTTAGAAAATTTTAGAAAATAAATAAATTTGTAACACTTACCCTCTTGGTATATTTAATAAGGAAATGTTGTTCCATAAATTCATAACAGGATCATATATTTCAACTAAATTTGTAGCGATATTCTGATTAATAAAAACACAATAAAATTAATAATTAAAAAAAATATTTAATTATTTTTTTTATTTTTAAATTTATATCATATTATATTATTAAATATTAAATTTTATGTTATATATTAAATTAATCATAAAATAATTACAAACCATTTTGACTATAATAGCTTGCATTTAATTAATATTTAAATAATAATTAAATTATTATTATCAGATGAAACTTACAATTGATGAATTGTGAGAATATCCTCCAATTGCATATATTTTGTTTTTATATTGAGTTAAAGTATAAGCATACCGTCTATAGTAAAGAGCACTGCTGTCCGACCAAACATTTTCAATATAATTATATTTTTTACAAATTGAATAAATTTCATTTAAATGATTAGAGCCACAAACAAATATAAAACTAAAATAATCGTCAATTGGTAATAAATTTTGTGATTTTAATTCCCCATTTTGAAATAAACTTAATTGTGGTTTAAAATTTTTAATATCCATTATATTAGCTAATTCTATATCTTGATTATCTATCACTTCATAATTATAGGTACAGTACATTGTATTGTCTATTTGCTGAAAAGTATTTTTTTTAATTAATTGTTTGAATGCATAAATTGCTTTTCTATTCTCATATTGACATTTGGAGTCAATGTAATGCCATTTATAAAACAAAACATAAATTTTAATATCAAAATCGTTATAAAGTTTGTTTAATAACCTAAAATGTTTATTAAACACACAGTTATTATTAAGTTGTTTAGCTTCATTGACTGTGACTAATTGACTAACTAAGTCATTATAATATTTAATTTTAATATTCATTTTATGTTTAGAGTATAAAGTATTGTTTGAATTTAACAAAACATTTGCTAACTTATCGGTACTTTCATTTCCAGATCTGATTTTTATTAATAAAATTTTCAAATAATTTGTTTGATTTAGTTTATAATTATTAAAATTTGTTAGCAAACTATCTAATTCATCAAAAACACTATCACTAATAAATGATTCATTTTTAAGCATATTTTTTTTAATATCATTTAATTTAATCTCAATCTCAAGTATATTATCAAAATAGTCAACACATTGATTGACTAAATAATCTTCAATTGTATGAATTAATGCATTTTGTTTTATATCAATTGAATATATTTCTCTCATAACATTAATTGGCATTAAATGATATTCAATTATTTTTCCCGATCCCGTATTACTAGCTTTTAATATTTTTGGTACATTTATAGTATAATTTAGTGCATCAGCTACTGTTATTGGCATAACATCTGGGGTTATATCGCCAACAATTTTAAAATCATAAGTATTTAATTTAGTTATGTTATTAATCTCAACTGAACCACTAGTACGACCAGAAATATCAATAAAATGATGTTTAATTGTAGCGGAAAGACTTCCTTCTACTAAAAAAATATCTTCGTTTTCTTCATTTTTATTTTCAACCGAAACGATGACATTACCACCAAATACATTGCCGACAACAACATGTGTTGCATCGATTTTGTTCAAGAGTTGTAAGTCAATGAATGGTTTCAATGACTCGTCATTAATATTAATTGAATCCTCTTTTGTTTTCATTTTTTGTATAAGAGAAACTTTTGCACATCTGTAGAATATTTATAAATTTGTTAATAAAATGTTCAAAAAAAAATTAATTTGTTACAAATTTACAGTATATTAATAATATATAATAATATATATTATAGATTTTTGTCTAAGGCGTGGTTCACATATTACGTTCGTACTTGAGGGGAGGGGGGGGGTTAGCCAAAGCGAACTTTTGCGAACAAGAGGGAGGGGAGGGGTAGAGACATTAAGAACGTTCGCAATTAGATATTTTATTTATTGTGGTGGGGGGAGGTAGCGGTTAGGGACAAGCGAACGTAATTTTTTTAAATGACTACTTGCGAACAATTGCGAACATAGGGGAGGGAGGGGGTCTAGATTTCTTAAAAAGTGCGAACGTAATATGTGAACAACGCCTAATAAACAAAATTTTTTATAAAATTAAAGTTTTAAGTGTATTTAAATTTTTCTATTGGAAACAATTTAAATATTTTTGTAATAATCAAATAAAACTTAATTTTTGTTACAAATAATATTTTTGGTATATATTCATTGGATTCGAATTATTAAATTAACATATTATGTACTCTAGACATGTAAAATTTTTAATAAATTTCACTGAGAATCCGTTCCTGAAAATATTGTAATATTAAATTAATTATACAATACTATACATAAAATATAATTTATAGAACTTTACTTTCCAAATATTGAACAAGAATATAGCTTATTATTATTTAATTTAATTTTAGAAATTATAATAATATAAATAATTTAATTACTAATAATTATACTGAATATAGTTTTTTAAATTGGGATATATATATACTAAAGCATTAACTGAAATGCTGCTTATGGCAGTATATTTTTAAATTTTTAGTAACCTAATTATGAATAAGAAATATTTATTAAAATAATATTATTTGCAGCCAACGACCGTCTAGTATTTAATTATCGGCTATAAACCTCATGCATTAATGGCCACCTATGACTGCCTAGAATATCAAAGCCAAATCACCAAACCAGTCAAATCGCTGCCATTGATATTTTAGACAGACTGCAATTGTATTAATGAGGGCATTAAGTTCAAAACATATAATTTATAAAAATATATATTGCCTTTTGTACTAAAATTTATTACTAATACGGCTATTGGCTACCATAAGCGTCATTTCAGATAATGCCATTTACTAACATTAATATTTTGAAAAATAATTTTTTAAATGTTATTAAATTTAGCCGAGACACATTTTAATTTTTTTTAATTTAAGTTTTCAGAATTATTTCAAATATTTTTTTAAAAATTCAAATTATTATTAATTGTAATATTTATTCGAACCGATAGCTTGTTTTTATTTCCGATAAAAACTTTGCTGATCCGGATAACCCAATATTGAACAAACCAAATACCATGCTGATTTTTAATGATGCACTAATATCCATTTTGTTAAATTTTTCTTTAAAAGTATCCGAATAACTTAACTCAAGACTAGTGACGGGCGTATCGGTAGTTGTGATGGCATCGGACGGTATCGATCTTTTAAATAAATTAATTTTCAAAAATTGGTCGTTTCGGGCGT